CTGCCCTCTGTTAATATGACAGTGGACCCTTTATTAACTGTGGAATATCAGTGAATTAGGTTAACCCATGGGTTTTGAAGGTACTGTATATACGTATGGGGAATATACTTTTTAGTACCACACTACGGTTGGCGGGTTAGGGTTGTGGGGACAGGTAGCTGCCGTATTGTCCTCTGCGCAGGTGCCTTTTCCTGTGTAAAAGAACGCGAGTAAAAGCACGCACGGATCGTTACAGTGGCAAAATATCGCGCTTTTACATACTCAAGCGGAAAGTCACGCCAATTTACGTAGACTGAGGGTTCGTGCGTAGTAATGCGCAATAACATGCTCCACAGGACAGGCTGCTCCTCCATGAGCGCGACGAGGAGATGCACGCACATGGTAAGTGGCGCACTGAATAGAGTGCAGAACCTGTGATGACGGATTCAACATAAGAACCAAATCGAATTGAATAGCGGATCGAGTCAAATATCAAATCGAATGGAATATCGAACATCAGATCAAAACAATTCATACGGCAAAAAGTGATCTTTAGTTATAAGCTAGCTCTCATAAATTGCACATAATTATGTGTGCCAAAATGTGTGTTTTTCACCGTCTTCAGGTGTAATGGGGTGGGTGCCAGGCTCTCCGTGGACGTCGAAATGGCAGTTCTCACTCTCAGTGTACATCTCCTGCAGTCCTGACTGCCAGGACCTTGTCTCCTCTCTCATGGAGGTCTGTTTCTCCTTTCACCCCTGCTGTATATAGTGAGGAAGAGGTGTATTACATCATTTTCATGATGACAACAACCATTTTTCTCTATTAATAATTTTATAAGGGGCTTGCCCCTTTTCACAGAGATATACATAGTAGTATAATTATAGAAATGAGTGGAAGCAAGTATTATTAAAAATCCTGCGAATTTCGCATATAGAAAAGAAAGGGAGACATGATAGGGATGGGATACATGAAGCACGTACCGGAATGTGTATTAAATACGAGCACATTGCAGGACTATGTGCCACTGTGGCAGAAGCAGTGCATTGATGGAGGTTGCAGTCTGACACCGTGTCACTTTCAACCCTCAGCTCTGGCCCAGTACCCTGTGGTACGTATCACTTGTTCTCTCCACTCACTCCATGTCACATTCTGTGAGACTTAGTTTTCTTTTCCCTACAGAACACAGACTACATGATGAGTGTTTGCTCCACCGAATGTGACAGGAGCAATATCTTCGTGTGTTTCTTAAAGGAGAAAAATAGCCAGTATGTTTAGCAGAGTGTCTTATGTACGTCCTGTATTGCAAGAAAGAAAACTTTTGGTATTCGGCTCTCAAATGACTTTCGTACAGAAATTCTTCTCTCAGAATTTTCCACTATAATTTATTATCACATTCTGTTTTGGTGTGTATAATGTGCTACAGGTCACTAAAGCTGGAGGTTGAACATGGTCATCTGAACAACCCTCTGGCTAGACCCAGTGTCTTCCTCCTCATCCCTTCCAGTATGAGGTTAGTGGATCAGTTCATGGTCTTATGCTGTTTCAGCCACTCTGTCTCTAGCTAAACGCCCATTTCACATTATCCTCATACATGTAGCATTCCTCATAGCTATACGTACTGACACAACTGTAAAGAAAGTGCACTTGATTGCAAGTGAATGCAAGAGCTACAAGTATGTGGATTTCAATATTGTTACAGTGCCCTCCTCATCGTCAGAAGCGAAAACTACACATGCAGACGCCTCGTTTCACATACATAACTATGACCAATTACGGAGTCAAACGCACATACATGTACATACATTCGTAGTGCACACAGTAACATTTCCCCTCTTTTTGGACTTGTATTGTTGTTCCTAAATTACACCCATCTCTCGGTCCATGGGTGTTTGGTAGCTTTTCTGTCTGGTGGGCTTACTGGCTCATTCTCATAACATCTGGCAAGGAGGGAGGGGTGGTAGAGATTCATGTCTTCTCTCTTCTCCATTCAGATCCAAGTCAGCTGGAGACGGTGGTGGTGGTGGGGAGGTGGAGAGACTGAAAGAGCAGAATAAGAAAGGCTGGAGACCACGCTAGGGTTAGTACTGGGTGCCATAACCCTATCGTACATACATCTTTGTTTACCGTCGGCGTGCATCCACAGTGAGGGTTACATTAGTTTGTTTGTATGGGTGTCTGTTTGCACTGATTTCTGGGATGTCTGGTGCTATGTACGTGTGTATACTGCACTTGCAAACCGCTCCTCTTTGTTACCCAAATCATGTCTGTTTTGAGATGACACGGGGTGTCTGTGTTGGTGTAGGCAAGTTCTTGCCCTTTATGGCGTGACATACATACCACAAATTTCAGAGAAAATTTGTCTTGTTTTCATGCCAGTTACTTCTCAATGCATAGCAATTTTAAATGTGGGATCTGCAACTTTTACTCCAGATAACATAATGAACATCCAGCCATGGGGTCCAGTCCAAGTGTTATGTAGCTCTATTGCTTTACATAGGTGCTGGAGTGTGTGGAGGATGGAAGTGAAAGTCTGCAGTGGGTATCGGAGCAGATTCAGACCATTCTCAGAAAGGTGACTAACAACACAGTTCTAAACCCCATTGGTGTCACCACCCTTATACGACATTCCATGTTTTGCATGCAGTACAGTGCAACCTCTGAACAAGGGACACTGTGGGGCCAACGATAAATATTGTCGCTTTTAGATAGGTCGTCTCTCTCTTGGAGGTCAAATTGGGGTAAAAGTGTCCAGAGTTCATCCCTATTTTGGAAGGTCTCTTATCAGAGGTTCCACTGTGATCCGTTATTTGTGTAATCAGAGGTTCAACTGTAATCTTTTTTCCCCATCTTTTACTAATAAAGCAACCTTTACATATTGCTTTTACTCCCTCCGGGTGAAAAGCCTTTACGTCCCCTTCTCTTGTGTGCAGGAGTTCTCAGTGGGAGGTGTGGTGGAGGGAGACAGTGAGGAGGTGATGGGGAGGATGGGTCAGCTGGAAGACATGAGGGCAGAGTGGCACCAGAGGAAGACCCTGGAGCACTACGTTCATCGCGCTCCTCCCGAGCTCTTTGGAGTGGAGACGGTGAGATGGGGAATGAAGACGATAATAGAGGGTCAGGCTTGTTGCTGGATGTGCATAGCGGTTATATCTGCTATAGCGTAGGTCCCGAGTTCGATTCCCAGTGTTGCCATTTTTTTCTGCCTCATTAATATTCCTGATAGCTTCTTCATAATTAGGCCATCCACATGCAGAGAGTTACAAAGTATTTCCTTCTGTACGTAACTGATCAGGTGTATGATCGTCTGGAGGAGTACATGAGAGAAGAAGGTCCAGTTCTTCCCCTGCTGCTCACCGGACACCCTGGCCTCGGGAAGTCCACTCTCCTCGCCAAATGGTAGGGTCCCTCAATCTTACTAACACCCGTGGTGGTTGCATGTGTATGTAGTAGAGAGGGGACAAAGAACCTTTCTACACTTTAGTAATGTACCTTGTTCCCCCAGCAATCAACAGGGATGCATCTTGTGATATTTTCAAACCTCCAACTTCCACCTTGCAAACTATACTATACATGCTGTGGTTGTTGACTGTGTATGGTCATGAGTAAGTCGTGTTATTCCTTTTATACAAGTCTTAATGTTCATTTTTAGGATAGACAGGATGGAGAGAGGAGGGAGCAAAACCAATCTCATTCTCTATCACTTTGTCTCGTGTCTGGGGTCGTCCAGTGCTGAGCCCGGAGTCATTTTCGGGAGACTGCTCAAGAAGGTGAACCTACGCATGCACAAGGTTGTAATGCAGGCTTAATAGTCACAAGTCATCTTAGAAGCGACTGTGGCAGTAGATGTTACTAAAGATAGAACTAAACAATAGGGCCCAGTGCAAGAATGCGATAAGTTCCCATTTTCAGTAACAGTTTCTAAATTTAGCCCTTTTATTCTGGCACATTCCCTTTAATCTTCCCCTCTCCCTCACACTGTCAAATCAAATAGACATTGCAGAAATGTTCTGCATATGTATGAGGTGATCGATCGTGAGTTGTATACGTAGGAAGACAAACTTTTCTCCTGACTTTATGTACAGTGCGATATCTTGGCTCACAGATCAGATATGTGTGTGGAGAGGCGTCATCTCTACCAACAGTTCCGTCACAGCTGATGGAGTCATTCACAGACAGTCTGGAGAGGCTCTCGGTGGCCAAGGTGGAGGAGGGAGGGATGGCGGTCATTGTCATCGATGGAGCCGACCTCATCAAGGTTGGTTTTCTTGGCTATGTACTCATGTCAGTAATGAGGTAGAAAGGCAAGGTTATGCAAAATAAAGTCAACTACATGCATAAAATGTGTGATCAGGGGAACTGACGTGCAATGATGCCCAGTTTTTGATAGGAGGCCGCAACACGAGTGTCACGACAGACAGCACAACTTCTTCGATGTCACAAACATGGATGCAAGTGTGGGGTAGCCAGAATGCATCACGTGCATGTGGGTGACATGATAGACATAGCACATTTCTATCCATGGCACACTTCTCATAGCCTGCTAAATTTTAACACTCCTGTCAAGTAACATACATGTGTATATACAGTGGCTGTAAATGCAAAAGCCTATGTATGTCACTAATCTCATCCTTTATTATGAGTGCATACACAGACACAGACACTGTGCGCATAAGGTTTGAACTCTATGACTTTTTGTTCCATAGTATTGGGTATAAAAACATTAGTCACAATCTCCCCTACACCCTGTAGGAGTGTGAGCAGAGTCTGTACTGGCTCCTGCAGCCTCTGCCACAGAACATTAGAGTGGTCCTCTCTGCCAATGAGGAGAACTATCCTGACTCTTGGAGGTATATGTATGTGCATTGATTTTGAACCTTCAGTGCTACAGTACTTGTTGGAGACCACCTTATCCTACTCTCTAACTGTCCCACTTTCTATGTCTTTGTCATCATGTTCATGAGGCTCTGCAGTACCGTGATTTTGAACTGTTCTGTGATGGGTGCTTAACCGCCCCATCGTATTCTACCTTCCTCATTTTGTTCATGCACGAGGCTCTGCATCAGTAATACAGGCAGTGTGTAAGTAAAACTCCTGACTTTTTATCTAACAAGAGGCATGCAGATCACTCACTGCCTTAGGTATGTGTGCTGTGTATTGGCAGTTTTGCCTGTTGTCCTGATTACAAAAATCCTGCCAAATAATTATGTACTGATAAATGAGGTGCTACTACATAGCATGATATTTAGCTACTAGCATGGGAAAAGAGAATATGCAAAACAAATCATGGACCAAACTAAGAATAAAAACCAATAGCCCAGTCGGACACTCAGATAATTCCACAGTCCCTCCTATGAGGAAAAAAAACAATTTCAGCTGTGAGTCTGATCTGAGGAACACTTATTCTAGTCCCGGATTCTGCAAACTGCATTTGGGGAGTTTATCACTGCAATATTCATACTTCTCATCTTCCATAATGTACAGCTGGGGTGTAGCAATTGCCGTAGAAAATTACGGGAATATAAGGCCAATCCCCTCTGAGAAATAATGGTCTGTGTTTATTGTGTGTGTCTGCAGAGCTCTGCCGTCTCCCAGTATCCCCACACCGACTGCACAGGAGATGCAGGACATCGTGGAGTACATGGTGGCTGGCAGAGACAGCCTCAACCTTGAGCAGGTGAGGGAAGGGAGCAAGTCTTTTGTCTCTCCCCAGTATGTTGGGGACTGGTCTGGATCAAGTAAAATCCGTCTGGACGGCTTTGAAGAAACAGGCTGGCCCGTTTTAAACCGATCTGGACGGCTTTAAAACAGGCTTCTGGTTTTTATTTGGTCCCCAACATATACACATCTTGTCAATGGTCAAAAATTATTGTCAATGCTGTTTATCTTTTCTCTCCTCCACAGGTAGGTGCCCTGGCAGTTGAAGGACCAGCCATTCCTCTATGGGGAGTCCTGGCAACTCAGCATGCTCTGAGGTATGAACACTAGCTACACACCCAGTTACATTTATACATGTTACTCTTCAGTGTGAGTGCTGCAACCTCTGAGGAGATGGATGCTATCATTGACACTCTGGTCACTGAGCAGGTTGGTTTTCCTCATTTACCTCTCCTTACTTCTTCTCCCCACACTGTGTGTGTATCCTGCTGTTATGCAGGAGGTGGAGGACCTGACTTGTCTCATTCTCAGGGAGCTGGAGGAGAGCTATCCATGGATGGCCCGCAGTATTGAACAGGTAGGGAGGTGTGTATGGGTTAACCCTTACAGTATGGGTTAATTAATGCATGCTGTGGGGAGTACAGAGCCTTGGAATGGTGGCATTTAACAAAATATGTGCAGTGAAAGATTTTACACCCACCTTAGTTGAACTAACCTGCGCCTCATCATACCATTACTCTGCTCATCTCCCAGTACATACATGATGTGCCTTTTACCTCGGTGCACTGTGCAGCTAAGATTTCAGTACTTGGTAATGTGTGTCTTTCTGCCTCTGTATGTTCCGCTAATATAAACGGCGAAACAGTCATATCAAGTTGTGTCAGAGCAATGTGGGCATGAGTATTAATAAGGCGATTTCATTAATCGAGAGTTATGGCGTCAAACACAAGTGAAAGCAATGGCCTGCTTCGACCCATTCAACACTCCTGTTGGAGATGCGAAGGACTAGTATCCAGTCCAGCGTTGCTGACGTTTCTCACTTATGCTGCTACCCTGTGTTGGAGTGAAAAACCCAGGTTACCGCAAACTGCTTGGCATGGCCACATCCCGTTCATTATTAGCAGCACTTTTCAAACATGTGTAGTACATTATAGCTGTACGTACGTAGCTCGCGCCAAGGGTTTGCACTTATGTGCTTTTCAATAACTGATTTTGTGCCCAATTTCAGGTTCTAAAGGTCATCTACTGGTCCAGAAATGGTGTTCTCTTTGGGGAACTGCTAGACGTAAGCTACATGTATTATGTGACGCTTCGCACCATACGTAGGATGTTTGTGAACTGTCTCTTAGCCATTCTCTCAGTGGAGGGGCAGCCATTTGGAAGACTCAGATCCTTTCTTAGTGTGATGTGTTCTGCTTACCTAAACATGCGTACCCCTACCAGCTGAGTTGCTCTGGTAGCTCAGTTGGTAGAGCGCTCGCCTAGACTGCAGAGTGTCGTGAGTTCGAATCCCACCTAGGGCAGCTCTCTGAAAAGAAAGAGCTGTCCTGGGTGTAGTTGACTTGTTTGCCTTGCCTTGCCTTTCTACCTCATTACCAAGTTGTTGAGACATGCATCTCTGCAGTAGGAGAGAGTAGACGATGACAAAGTGACGGGGCATCACCACAACTTCAACGCTCGTGTGTAACCGAGCCTCCTGTCTTTTGGGCTGAGAATTGGGGGTGGCGATGGTTGCCTCTCCTCTTCAATGGCCCAAGTTGTTACTGCCCGTGCTAATGTAGCATCGTTATGTGGGGAATGTCCCGATTGCATGCTCATTAATGGAATTACTAAAAATGGAACTGAATTGTGTTATTTTTTGTTCTGTCTTTAGTAAATTTTGCCCTTATATACTGCCACTTCACTCAATAGATCACTGGTCTAGCGGACACTCTGCTGAGACTGACAGTGTGTGAGCTACAGAGACGCTCCATACTCCAGACCTGCGGTGGCCTCTTGCAACTCACTCATCATGACCGTATGTCCTTAGATCATGCGCGCGCCCATCCCCCCTGTATTGTCCAATATATATTTATATGTATTAGACATCCTTTGTAGGCAAATTTGTACACATTAAGCTTTCAGGAAAGTTAGCAGTGTTACCTGCAGGTTCAGGGTGCTGTTCAACTCAAGTTACAGTCACCTGTCGTCCAGTGAAAGTTTGCTGCAGTGGACTGAGCAACTCACTACCTACTATCTCCAGTCTCCAGGTACGTAGGCTACTACATGTCCATTTTAGAAACACACGCTGCGAATACCTGCTCCTTTCAGCACCTCACGACATTGCATATGATGAGGGGAGATGTTGAAATTTTCCTGCCCAGGGTTTTTGTATGTACACATCCTAAGTGCATGCTTCTCCATTGTTAACAGCTATACAGAATGCGCAACAACTGTTCTTCTGTGCCACTACTCCGTACCATGCAGTAGTCGTAGAGTGAGACAGCAGAGGAGGTTCCGTGTGGCAGCTCCATTAGAGCAGACCTCAGATAGAGCTCGACCACAGCAGGCTTGAATGTGGACATTCTCCTCCAGCTCTACTACTCTGGTGGGATACTCATACGCATGGTTATGAGATTGGGCACCATTTAAAATGAGACACCAGTCATACATACGTACCGTACTTTCTGTTTGATGATGTGACCGCAGTGTGGTGGTGCAACTTACAAACATCCTCACAGTGCTTCTGTTGCGTATACAGAGTTTCGGTGCTTCCATCGAGTGGCCATGGGGAGGAGTTGCTGGGCTATACTGGAGAGAGTTGGACCAGCATCTGAATGTCCTGGCTGCCCAGTACGACTACAACCGCTCACTCAGAGCCATTGAGGAGCAGCAGTGAAAGTAAGTACATAGACTATACTACAGTGGCCATGCCAGGAAAGAAAAAGAAAAGTGAGGAGAGAAGTAAGTGAGTGTGGTGGAGTAGGCCGGAGAGAGAGAGAACTTATGCTCGATCATTGATGTACGTAATGTGTGCTGGGAGTGTCGAAGTAGAGAAATGGGAAGGATGAGGTGTAGAAGCAAAAGAGAGCAAATGTTGTCGGGAGGGTGAGAAGAAGGAATTAAGGTGATAGTAGGGAGAGGCACCACTTCATCAACATTCAGCTCGTGAATGATTGTGTGATGTGTTCAGGGAGTGGTGCAGTCAGCACCGAGAGAGGATGTGCTCAGGTCAGGACAGTGGGAAGGTGGTTGACAGTCTGGGATTCTCCGAGGAGGTGAACAACTCTCTCTTCACTATCTACGTACGTCAATCTTTTCTGTCTTCGCCAATCCTCTCATGGCATCATTCCATTTTCAAATGAGCAATTTTATCATGCATACATTTCTGTGGAGAATCTATTGCCAACGACCATACACTTGAAGCCTAGCCCCCGAAAGATGCTAACCTTTTGTGCTATGGGTAGAGAACCAAACCTGTTACAGTGCTGTCGTGTTATGTAATGTCAATATGCTGCACTCTCAAGGGTGAGTGCGTTGGTTTCATGTGTCTGTGTGTGCCAGGACTCTGCCGCTGTTCAGCACAGCCTCAGTGTGTGAGGCTAACTTTGAGCCGGACGGAGTGGAGATCGGCTCACGCCTTTATTACGACATCGCCGACACCTACATCGTCATACATATCCAGATATGGTATATAGCAATGTGCAGAGCACAGTATCTTACTAAATGAAAGCACTGAAGTGCAAACCCTCGGCGCTTGTGCCGAGCGCACGAGGCGTAAGTACACGCTTCGCCGTAACACTAATGATGGGCTGTTAGTTTTAGCTGTTACTCGGGGTCTCTTCCCAGCGCGCGCAGAGTCTGACGCGGGCTAACTACACTACTGATAGCAGGCGAGATGGCGATACATCAACCCACTGCCCATGCGTTGCATCTTCTGGTGCCTCTGATGTACGCGACGCACGCGGATCGATCAGTACCGTGGTAATCCGTGCCCCGTCCGTTGCTATTTGCATATAGCTTTTTCGCGCTCTAACTAGCTCTGCAACTGAGCAGTTTCAGAGAAAACCCCACATATTTCTGACCTTCATTGCCCGTTCAGTAGGTGGTATCCTTTGTGAGACGAACGAACACTCGAGAAAGTGAGATGACGAGTATACAGACACACACGCACACACAGACAACAACAACCCAACTACCGTAACCCTCGCTGCGCATCGCGCCGCCGAGGTTAAGATGAGCCATCCTGTAACAAAAATGTATCCACCAGCAGGCATTTGCAGTTTGTTACAGTTTAATAAGCTCAACCTCTCTGCGATGCACTTGTGTATCCAGTACTACTACACAGGGTTACTTCTCACGTTGTGAGTGTGTCCTTTTAAAATTCACCACCCCTCCCACCCCGTTTACCCCTTTATTTTTACTATCCTCCTCCCTACTGCATTCATTAGTTGTCATGTCCTAGCCACACCACAGCGCTGCAGAAGAGTACTACTATCAGCACTGCATATCTGAAGCCAATCCTGAATGTTTCTTCTCCAGCACAGTTCTCAAGGTGTGTACCCTCATTCCAACGAAATTGTCATTTTAGGGAACATACCAATGGCGTTCAAAGTTGAAATTGGAATCGCTTGTTCTACTTCGTATGCATTGTTTCACGTATGATGACATACGTAGTTCTCAACTGTAGCTATACCACATAATCACAATCCACACTGATCCGCACCTAGGTTGTTTGAAGCTCTTGTTGGTGTCTGGAGAAATTGAAACGGTATGCCTTGTAATTTTCAATGTAAGATACTGTAGTATGAAAATCATGTATCATGTGCATTCCACAGTGCTGATGTGGCCGGCTCTGTCGACGAAGCATTTGCGATGAATGATATGACAAAATGACACATACATAAGGATGCAGTGCATCATATTCCTTTGTATTTCTTCTCCATGTTAAAAGTCTACTCTGTGATGTGCTCTATTTACCATATTGCAATCCTCGCACCCTACACTGGTGTACCGTTGTGTACATTATGTGAAACGTCGTCCCCCCGTGGATCTTTCTTTTTTCCTTTCCTCCACTGTTGTACTAAGTGATGGCATATCCTCTATCATTGCCGCGTACATCTATACACCTTCTGATGTCGGAGTTTCCAGTACACATTCAGATGTGTAGTCATGTTTTCTTTGATAAATGCCCACGTGGTGATACTCCTAACTGCAGCCCAGCTAATATCCTCAGAGCAGAGCAGCCAGCTGAGCAGTACTGACTCACAGCAGGAGAGTGAGGATGACCCTGCCATTGCACCACAAACTGATGAATGCCGTCTCCTCTTGTGCTCTCTTTGAGATGCCAGGTAGACAAACACCAGTCGCATACATCATTTGACAGTAGAGACGACAGACAACGTACCTGTATGTGCAGCAATCGTGTGTGAGAAATGTGTGGAAGAGAGAGTTTTAGGTAAGAGGCACATAAGTGTCCATGTTTATGGACATACACAGCCATGCCACGCAAACACCATTGGAGGTAGCAACAACTGCGGCTCACTGGGTGTATTTGATACATAGCTCTTCGAAAGCAACCATCACCTTGAGTCCCTCAACTTTGCTTACATGTACATGGACCCCTTGCTCTCTCATCTCCGCGCGAGGTTTCACTTACGTGCTTTTCATATGCTCACTCGTATATGAATTACCCTGTGTATTATGACCCTCACATCGCGCATGCGCAGCGAGGTTACGGTACTTTGTATGTCTGTCTGGTCCCTGCTATCTGCGCTACGGGCTCTACGAGCGGCAATGAGTGTGCGCCAATCGGCTTCAGAATGAGAACATGGATATTAGTGTGGTGATTTTCATGTGGGCGTGATCTGTCCAGAGCTAGCGTGAGACCTGAAAACAGACGTGTACACGAGTGCGATTGCACAATGTGCACCTTGTGCCCACCTGCTGCTGGCTACACTGCACGCACACGTCTTGGTCAGACTGCGTTCGAGAGCAATAAACTGGCACGGTCGCGAACCCTGTTGCATGGCCCAACACATCAATTAGCAGTGTGCATGCGTTATTAGACGCCCAGCAAGCTAATAGTAGTTTGTGTATAGTGTTTTGCATGGCAGCGATAGCCTTGAAACATGTGTACACAAGCACCGCGGAGAAACTTACAGCATCCTAGACATGTGGATTGATGCCTTACGAATGTAGGATGCAATCCATGGGCAATGTATTATGGTTATTATGTGATTGTTTCATAACCTCAGCCTTGCAGAAGAGCTGTTCCTGCGGTCATGGAAGGCCTATGAGTCGCAGTATGGGGACAGCGATGTAAAGGTCGCTCACGCACCACGTCCAGAAATCTTGCCCTCTTCTATACCACGACTGACTGTGCGTGTCTCTACCTGTAACACTAACCTTGAGGTATATATATACAGGTAACAGAATGATTTGGTGATCGTTTCCACGATGTTATATGTACCTCATCGAAATCTTGTTTCCTTCTCAAAGCGTGTAATGCAAGGGAGACAATCTCGCTGGATGTCAATGCACACCTCTTTAACTCCAGAGATGTATTTAATCGCATCTTCGTTGGCAAATAAGACACGCATGAGGCGTTTGGGGCTATTGCGAGTATGGTTTTGATGTTTTTATATAGCTACGGCTTGATCACATGAGATTGACCCATGCCATCCTTATGATAGCGTCGACACTTGATGCTTAGATATGCAGACACCACAGTGGCTGCCTCTTTTATGAGCATAAATGTTTTTCCACAGCCTGGAGAAAGCCACTTCACTGTATGAAGAAGTGTATGAAATACTAAAGAAGGTATCATAATGTTCACTCTGTGGTGTGTTTACTTCCGTGACGTATATTTATAGAACAGTGCCACTTCATCGCAACAGATGACTGAAGTTATTGGGAAACTAGCCACACTCTACAGACAACAGGTAACTAAAGTATTTCTCGTTCAACTGAGCAGCTAACTTTTGACTGATAAGGTTTCATTGTTAGTAAAGCATATCATCAGAACGGGAAAGTTGTGAGGACTCCAATGGTGTAAGCATTGGATGTACGTAAAATGAAAATGTTGAGTCTGTATAGTGTAGAGGCACCAAGGGTACCTAACAAACACCTTCAGTATACATAGTTCAACTCTGAATTAACAAATTCTTCCTTTGTCTCTTATTACAGAACAGACTTGACCTTGCCGAGCCATTTCAAGTGTAAGTCCCCACACAACATTTGTTATTAAGTGGTTCTTGGTGTGTTGAATATAGCCAATAGCTACTTAGACCTCCTGTTACCTCATAGAAGCAGTGGTCTAGTGGTGCTGTGCTGGGAGCACAAGTGTAACGGGTTTGAATCCCACTTTTTATCTTTTTTCTCGTTTCGACATGTTGATTATTCAACTGGCTGGATGTCCATGCACACCTTTAACTCTTCTTTAACTCATTAGCTATTGGCTATATTACTGGCACCGCGTGCAACGTGATATATAGATGTTGACCATGTTTTTCTACACAGTCAGTTTGCGGAGCTGAAGGAGAGAGCTCTGGGGCCTCACCACCTTGACGTGGCTAGGGCACTCAACAACCTGGCTGTCATGTACTCCATGCAGGTACATAGGGACTCTGTGTGGGAATGTCTTGGTACAGACAAATAACTCTGGATCTCATACTGTTTTTGGGCTGTTCGATACATTCATTTGATACTTACGGATGTCGTATTGTTTGCAAGTCAATGAAAAAGCTATAAAGCTATTAAGCTGTACTGAACTCATCACACATTTTCTCGGTCTTCCTTAGAGATTAGCTTGGAGTTTTTGTGGATACTAACATCTTAGGTACGTACTGATGTGGTGAAAGGAGCTTTATCTGCTGCACTAGATACTCATTAACTACCTTAATGGCGAGTGGGAGCAGGCTAACCTAGTGGTCCAAATGACGCAGCTTTTCTGTAATATTGTGTCATTCGGGCCACTAGGGCCAACTTGCAGCTGTGCATGCGTTTTACGAGTCATCTTAGAACGTTTTAGCAATGTGGCATGAAGAAAAAACATTGCATGTTTGTGGTTTTAGACACTTATCCCAGGTAGAAATGTGCAGCAGTAGAAAGCCAAGTGCCCTGGTCCGCGAGGGCACTACACCAGGGAAACGGGGTGCGTATGTGGTAGTTACTGCGTTAGCATCTCACTCTTAGAGTGAGCACTTCACGTTGAGCGCTTTTCTGCGTACTATAATGGTGAATCGATGGAGACTGGCTCAGAGCTCCAGCAAATGCAGCGAAAGTTTTTGTAACGAAGCAGAGTGTTGTGACTCCGCCTTCTGTGGGTGTGGTTTTCACATATGCATGGAATTTTGCATCAACATTAAACACTGTCAACCAGCTAAATCAGAACAGGCTTGTACCAGCTATATACCTATCCCGCTCGCCAAAAATGCCCTGCATTCGCCTACTAGTATAATAGTGTTTTTACTTCGTAGTCCATTGCCCATTCATAGCACACCCACATCACATCCATGAATATACCTTCACAGTTTCCAACACTGTCCATATAGGATGAGTATGCCAAGGCCCTACCCACCTACGACCGTGCCCTGAAAGCCTACCGATACAACTTCCCTGATGACCATCCAACCGTGTCCACAGTTGTTCAGAACAGACAACTCGCAGCACATATACTCTCTCAACTTTCTTAACACATCACCACACCAGTCACTTCATCACTGTCTTACTTCCTCTTCTTTTCCTCTGTGTCTCTTCTCCGTTTCTCGGTTATTTTTCATAACATCAGAACATCAATAAGTCTTTCTCTACATAATCGAGGATGAAATCTCACGACAAAAACATGTTCCACCATGCCAAGTGCACAATTGGAAACTAAAATGGAAGGGAGCTATACCACGGAGAGGCTAATACTCTGCCGTGCATGAAAGACAAAGGAAACTAATGACACTTAGACTAAGTAATCCCCATTATAGTCTTGTTGTTCATCAGCTCTATATTATGGGTATGGAAACAAAGGAGACCGGTGACACCACTAAGAGTGCCCCTCCATTTTTCGCTTTCTGTTGTTCATCTGCTAGCTATAGTTACAGAAAAAACTGTTCATGTATGACCTTTACTGAAATAAGGACTGAGGGTTATTATGACAAATACAATGAAAAGCACTGAAGTGCAAACCCTCGGCGCACTGTGACGCGCACGCGTTAGTAAACGCATGCGCCGTACCACTAATTTATGGGCTGGGTTTAGTTTTAGCTGTTACTCGCGGTCTCTTGCCAGCTCGCACAGAGTCTGACGCGGGCTAACTACACTACTATATAGTATGCGAGAGGCGATACACGCCCTGCGTTGCATCTTCTGGTGCCTCCGAAGTACGCAGAGCACGCGGATCGATCCGACTGTGGTAAGTCCGTTGTGTATTTGCATATTGGCTTTTTCGCGCTCTAGCTTTGCAACGGAGCAGTTTCAGAGAAAACCGTTCGAAAATTCTGACCTTCATTGCCCGTTAAGTAGGTCGTATCCTTTGTGAGACGAACAAACACCCGAGAAGTGAGATTGAGAGTAACAGACAGACACACACACACACAGACAGACCCAAGTACTGTAACCCTCGCTGCGCATGCGCGCCGAGGGTTAATAATTATTATTACGACTGTTCATAATAATAGTCAGCGCTATAGCTCTTGATTTCTACAGACCGTAACAGGCCCATGTCTATGGTGTGAAGGATTAATTTTGACACTGCAACTCAGCCGTTGCAGTGAAGTTGGTTCTGAGTCACTGTAAAAGTGAAGGCTATAGGCTATAGGCTAGCAAGTGTCAAAGCTATGACAACCTCTAAGATTCTGGTGCAAGCAAACAAGTTGCCAGGTACACATTCAACTCTGAAAGTCGTTAGCACAATTGTTATTATAACAAGACATATTTTGCAATCCGCCGTGGTCAAAAATCTTCACTTTTGAGAAAACGTGAGTCAAACATCACTATTCTCGCCTAATAGGTTGTAAAAGAAAGTTAGCCATGTCTTCAGTAGGCTTTTGCATCTGTTTTCTAGTACTGAATGTGTCTCTGTGTTCAGTGTTTGCTACTGACACCTATTGCCCAGCCTGGCACTACTACAGCAATACTTCAGGTGACTGTGTGTGTGGATTTGACCTAGACTGTGGCAAACAGGTGAAGATTGGAAATGATCACTGTGCGACGAATTCCAAAGAAAAAGGTGGCTACTATATCGGCCAATGTCCGTTTCTTCCCAAATTCAACATCATCGACAGAATGCATTCAGAGATGCCAAGCAATGCTAGTCAGTTGGATGAGGTGATGTGTGGTCCTTACAACAGAAAAGGTTTGCTGTGTGGGGAGTGTAAGGAAGGCTACGGTCCTGCTCTTTACTCATTTGACATGAAATGTGCTGACTGCTCAAATCTCTGGTCAGGATATGCCACTACACTCTTCTTCTTTTTTCAGTTTGTTCTTATAACAGTAATTTTCATAATCTTGGTCATTTTCCGTGTCGACATAACCTCAGGCCCGCTGCTAGGTTATGTGTTCTTCTGTCAGATAAGTATAGCGGTTATGGACCACAAATTTCACTTTGTATACGACTACATAAATTCAAATATCTTAGATTTTCTGAGGGTTTTGATGACATTGTCCATAATATTGTCTCAGTTTTGGAGCTTGCAGTTCTTCAAGGCCATAATTCCACCATTTTGCATCAGTGAGAAACTAACTAGTTTCCAAATTGTAATGCTCGATTTCATACCAGCTGTCTACCCAATTATTCTTGTTGTCATCTGCTGCATTCTCATGGAGCTGCATGCAAGAAACTGTGCATTACTTCAAAATCTGTGAAGCCATTTAGGGCAATAATCAGTAGGACAAACACAGCCGCAGTGACTGGTGATGCTGTTATTCACGCTTTTGCATCGTTTATCTTTCTCTCGAGTATCTCTGTTGTCTGTGTGATGCACAAAATATGTGATACAGTAAATTTAAACAAATCACCTGGAGATTTTCACAAAACTGTTTTTTACATTTACCCAACAGTAGAGTGGCCCAGTCACAAGGTTTTGCCATACATCTGGATTTCCATCATATTTTTCGTCTCAGTGACACTCATTCCCTCTGTCCTTCTGTGCCTATACCCAACAAGGGTGTACCGATATCTGTCAAGGTTTCTGAGTACCAGGAAGCGACTGGCCATCACTGCATTTGCTGAGGCTCTCCACAGCAGTTTCAAAGATGGTCTCAATGGAACTCGTGACTTCAGGGCACTGGCTGGAGCACCCGTCTTTCTTTTCCTTGTGTTTGCTGCTGTTTTTAATGTTCTGATAGTGAACATTAGTTTTGCCGCCATACGGAATGTAACAACAGTGCTGTGGCTGTTACTTGTATGTGTAGTGTCACATATAAAGCCATGTAAGTCAGCAGTTGCAAATATCTCTCTCACTTTTCACATGGCCCTGTTTGGAATTCTAGTTTTTGCCAGTTCCTTATGGCAGTATGATCTAACTGTTGGAACCCACACACTTGAACTGACATTCATTGCCATCTATCTCTCACCACACATTCTGGTGGCTCTGTGGGCTGGCTATACCTTCACTAAACACACACTGACAAGGTTTGGATATCAGTTCCATGGCCCTGGTTGCAAGGTGGCATTGAGTGACATGGCAAATGCTGTGAGATGGTGTCTCTCCAGAAGGCACAGGGGCTACCAGGAGTTGCAAGCGCAATGAGCCAGGAGGTTGTTATATTTACAAAATAGTTTTGTACAAACTATTGGTATTACTGTTCATGTATTACCCATTACAGAGTGTTTTACCCTCCATGTTGTGTTTCCCTGCTATTTATAATATCATTTTTTGAACAAAAGACATCTTTATTATGAGGTTGCACCCCTGCGTTCCCCTTCATTTCAGAAGACTGATTTTTCCACTGTTCATTAACATGACTGTGTACAAGGAGCAAAACGACACTGAAAATCAACAAATTTGTCCTTAAGCACATCTGTTGTGTGTTAATGCATGACATGACTCCATCAGTTTTTCTCTAGCTAAAAGGTTCACTTTAGGGACTCCAGTAAACAGAAATTGGAAGATCAGAAAGGAAACCTCTGCTCTCAAATAAAACTATCGTGTAGCAACGTGAGAAGTAAGTAGTCTAACCAGGAACATAGGGCGGAGTAACTAAATAAGTCAGTCAATATCTTGGGGGTACTTGGTGCTGCTGCTTTCTCTGCACTCTATATAGCAGTGCATGTAGTGTTGCCAACTAACAGCAGTTGCCACACCTGGCACTACTATAATAATGCAACAGGAAGGTGTGAGTGTGGACATGGTCTATAATTATATGCTACAGCAACCTGAAGGAGATAACAAATGGAAAATTTGTTTATTCAAAATGAAGAGTGACATTATAGGATGGCTCAAAACATGAATTCATGAGTAATGTATGTTAGCTATGTAAAATTACTAACTGGAGGACGTGTTAGGGTCACCCTGTGTGTGCAGGCGCGACCCGACCTCTCTAGGCATGCGCAAATACTATGTGGGGCATTGCTGCACGTCGTAGTGCCGCGTCGGCAAGATGGAAGTCTCTCTCTCACTGTCTTACTTCCTCTTCTCTTGCTCTGTGTCTCTTCTCTGTTTCTCTGTTATTTTTCATAACATCAGAACATCAATAAGTCTTTCTCCACATAATCGAGGATGAAATCTCATGACAAAAACATGTTCCACCATACCAAGTGCACAGTTGGAAATTAAAATGGAAGGGAGCTATACCACGGAGAGGCTAATACTCTGTCGTGCATGAAAGACAAAGGAAACCAATGACACTTAGACTAAGACATAATATTAATCACCATTATAGTCTTGTTGTTCATCAGCTATGGGTATGGAAACAAAGGAAACCGGTGACGCCACTAAGAGTAACCCCAGTACCCCTCCATTTTTAAGACTGTTCATAATAATAGTCAGCGCTACCAGCGCTAGCTCTTGATTTCTACAGACCGTAACAGGCCCATGCCTATGGTGTGAAGGATTAATTTTGACACTGCAACTCAGTCGTTGCAGTGAAGTTGATTCTGAGTCACTGTAAAAGTGAAGGCTAGCAGTGTCAAAGCTATGACAACCTCTACGATTCTGGAGCAAGCAAAGAAGCGGGGTAGCTAAACGTTCCACTCAGAAAGTCGTTAGCACAATTGTTATTATAACAAGACATATTTTGCAATCCACCGTGGTTAAAAATCTTCACTTTTAAGAAAACGGGAGTCAAACATCACTATATTCTCGCCTTATAGGTTGTATATAAAAGAAAGTTAGCCATGTCTTCAGTAGGCTTTTGCAAGCAAGCAAGTGGGGTAAACATTCCACTCAGAAAGTCGTTAGCACAATTGTTACTATAACAAGACATATTTTGCAATCCACTGGGTTAAAAAATCTTCACTTTTAAGAAAAAGTGAGTCAAACATCACTATATTCTCGCCTTATAGGTTGTATATAAAAGAAAGTTAGCCATGTCTTCAGTAGGCTTTTGCAAGCAAGCAAGTGGGGTAAACATTCCACTCAGAAAGTTGTTAACACAATTGTTATTATAACAAGACAGATTTTGCAATCCACCGTGGTTAAAAAATCTTCACTTTTAAGAAAACGTGAGTCAAACATCACTCTTCTCGCCTAATAGAAAGTTAGCCATGTCTTTTTCAGTAGGCTTTTGCATCTGTTTTCTAGTAGTGAATGTGTCTGTGTTTGCTACTGACACCTATTGCCCAGCCTGGCACTACTACAGCAATACTTCAGGTGACTGTGTGTGTGGATTTGACCTAGACTGTGGCAAACAGGTGAAGATTGAAAGTACTTACTGTGCGACAAATTCGGAAGAAAAAGGTGGCTACTATATCGGCCAATGTCCGTTTCGTCCCAAATTCAACATCATCGACAGAATGCATTCAGAGATGCCCAGCAATGCTAGTCAGTTGGATGAGGTGATGTGTGGTCCTTACAACAGAAAAGGTTTACTGTGTGGGGAGTGTAAGGAAGGCTACGGTCCTGCTATTTACTCATTTGACATAAAATGTGCTGACTGCTCAAATCTCTGGTCAGGATATGCCATTACACTCTTCTTCTTTTTTCAGTTTGTTCTTATAACAGTAATTTTCATAATCTTGGTCATTTTCCGTGTCGACATAACCTCAGGCCCACTGCTAGGTTATGTGTTCTTCTGTCAGATAAGTATGGCGGTTATGGACAACAAATTTCACTTTGTATACGACTACATAAATTCAAATATCTCAGATTTTCTGAGGGTTTTGATGACATTGTCCATAATATTGTCTCAGTTTTGGAGCTTGCAGTTCTTCAAGGCCATAATTCCACCATTTTGCATCAGTGAGAAACTAACTAGTTTCCAAATTGTAATGCTCGATTTCATACCAGCTGTCTACCCAATTATTCTTGTTGTCATCTCCTGCATTCTCATGGAGCTGCATGCAAGAAACTGTGCATTACTTCAAAATCTGTGGAAGCCATTTAGGGCAATAATCAGTAGGACAAACACAGCCGCAGTGACTGGTGATGCTGTTATTCACGCTTTTGCATCATTTGTCTTTCTCTGGAGTATCTCTGTTGTCTGTGTGGTGCAAAAAATATGTGATACAGTAAGTTTAAACAAATCACCTGGAGATTTTCACAAAACCGTTTTTTACATTGACCCAACAGTAGAGTGGCCCAGTCACAAGGTTTTGCCATACATCTGGATTTCCATCATATTTTTCATCTCAGTGACACTCATTCCCTCTGTCCTTCTCTGCCTATACCCAACAAGGGTGTACCGATATCTGTCAAGGTTTCTGAGTACCAGGAAGCGACTGGCCATCACTGCATTTGCTGAGGCTCTCCACAGCTGTTTCAAAGATGGTCTGAATGGAACACGTGACTACAGGGCACTGGCTGGAGCACCCGTCTTTCTTTTCCTTGTGTTTGCTGCTGTTTTTAATGTTCCGATAGTGAAAATTAGTTTTGGCGCCATACGGAATGTAACAACAGTGCTGTGGCTGTTACTTGTATGTGTAGTGTCACATATAAAGCCATGTAAGTCAGCAGTTGCAAATATCTCTCTCACTTTTCACATGGCCCTGTTTGGAATTCTAGTTTTTGCCAGTTCCTTATGGCAGTATGATCTAACTGTTGGAACCCACACACTTGAACTGACATTCATTGCCATCTATCTCTCACCACACATTCTGGTGGCTCTGTGGGCTGGCTATACCTTCACTAAACACACACTGACAAGGTTTGGATATCAGTTCCATGGCCCTGGTTGCAAGGTGGCATTGAGTGACATGGCAAATGCTGTGAGACGGTGTCTCTCCAGAAGGCACAGGGGCTACCAGGAGTTGCAAGCGCAATGAGCCAGGAGGTTGTTATATTTACAAAATAGTTTTGTACAAACTATTGGTATTACTGTTCATGTATTACCCATTACAGAGTGTTTTACCCTCCATGTTGTGTTTCCCTGCTATTTATAATATCATTTTTTGAACAAAAGACATCTTTATTATGAGGTTGCACCCCTGCGTTCCCCTTCATTTCAGAAGACTGATTTTTCCACTGTTCATTAACATGACTGTGTACAAGGAGCAAAACGACACTGAAAATCAACAAATTTGTCCTTAAGCACATCTGTTGTGTGTTAATGCATGACATGACTCCATCAGTTTTTCTCTAGCTAAAAGGTTCACTTTAGGGACTCCAGTAAACAGAAATTGGAAGATCAGAAAGGAAACCTCTGCTCTCAAATAAAACTATCGTGTAGCAACGTGAGAAGTAAGTAGTCTAACCAGGAACATAGGGCGGAGTAACTAAATAAGTCAGTCAATATCTTGGGGTACTTGGTGCTGCTGCTTTCTCTGCACTCTATATAGCAGTGCATGTAGTGTTGCCAACTAACAGCAGTTGCCACACCTGGCACTACTATAATAATGCAACAGGAAGGTGTGAGTGTGGACATGGTCTATAGTTATAATTATGCTATATACAGCAACCTGAAGGAGATAACACAAATGGAAAATTTGTTTATTCAAAATGAAGAGTGACATTATAGGATGGCTCAAAACATGAATTCATGAGTAATGTATGTTAGCTATGTAAAATTACTAACTGGAGGACGTGTTAGGGTCACCCTGTGTGTGCAGGCGCGACCCGACCTCTCTAGGCATGCGCAAATACTATGTGGGGCATTGCTGCACGTCGTAGTGCCGCGTCGGCAAGATGGAAGTCTCTCTCTCACTGTCTTACTTCCTCTTCTCTTGCTCTGTGTCTCTTCTCTGTTTCTCTGTTATTTTTCATAACATCAGAACATCAATAAGTCTTTCTCCACATAATCGAGGATGAAATCTCATGACAAAAACATGTTCCACCATACCAAGTGCACAGTTGGAAATTAAAATGGAAGGGAGCTATACCACGGAGAGGCTAATACTCTGTCGTGCATGAAAGACAAAGGAAACCAATGACACTTAGACTAAGACATAATATTAATCACCATTATAGTCTTGTTGTTCATCAGCTATGGGTATGGAAACAAAGGAAACCGGTGACGCCACTAAGAGTAACCCCAGTACCCCTCCATTTTTAAGACTGTTCATAATAATAGTCAGCGCTACCAGCGCTAGCTCTTGATTTCTACAGACCGTAACAGGCCCATGCCTATGGTGTGAAGGATTAATTTTGACACTGCAACTCAGTCGTTGCAGTGAAGTTGATTCTGAGTCACTGTAAAAGTGAAGGCTAGCAGTGTCAAAGCTATGACAACCTCTACGATTCTGGAGCAAGCAAAGAAGCGGGGTAGCTAAACGTTCCACTCAGAAAGTCGTTAGCACAATTGTTATTATAACAAGACATATTTTGCAATCCACCGTGGTTAAAAATCTTCACTTTTAAGAAAACGGGAGTCAAACATCACTATATTCTCGCCTTATAGTTGTATATAAAAGAAAGTTAGCCATGTCTTCAGTAGGCTTTGCAAGCAAGCAAGTGGGGTAAACATTCCACTCAGAAAGTCGTTAGCACAATTGTTACTATAACAAGACATATTTTGCAATCCACTGGGTTAAAAATCTTCACTTTAAGAAAAAGTGAGTCAAACATCACTATATTCTCGCCTTATAGGTGTATATAAAGAAAGTTAGCCATGTCTTCAGTAGGCTTTTGCAAGCAAGCAAGTGGGGTAAACATTCCACTCAGAACGTTGTTAACACAAGTGTTATTATAACCAGACCGATTTTGCGCAATACCACCGTGGTAAAAATCTTCACTTTTGAAAGAAAACTGTGAGTCAACATCACTCTGCTCGCCTAATAGAAAGTTATGCCATGTCTTTTCAGTAGGCTTTTGGCATCTGTTTTCTAGTACGTGAATGGGTCTGTGTTTGCTACTGACACCTTTGCCAGCCTGGCACGATCTACAGACAATACGTCAGGTGACTGTGTGTGTGGATTGACCTAGACTGTGGCAAACAGGTGAAGATTGAAAGTACTACTGTGTCGACAAATTCGGAAGAAAAAGGTGCTACTTATCGGCCATGTCCGTTTCGTCCAAATTCGAACATCATCGACAGAATGTATCAGAGATGCCAAGCAATGCTAGTCCAGTTGGATGAG